TGTTGAGATATTTTAATTTAAAATTTAAAAAAAACTCACTAAAAACAAGATGCTTGGTTTCTACTGGCACCCCCCATATGCCAAAACTATATAAAAAATTTGGTTAAAATTTATTTAAGACTTTTTCTTATGATAAATTATTTCGTTCTTTGATTCAATATTAAATAAGAATTTTTTAGTAATGTCTTTGCCATATTTTAAACTTTCCGAATCTTTATTCTTTTCATCATCCACCTTACTACCCATACTCATATTTGAATCAGGATAAAGCTTCATACTTGAAGAAGCATATAGCTTATCGTCAGAACTTGTCGAATAGCCATATATTGGATATTTAGGCGACCTTGGTCGGAATGAAGGTTTTTTATTTAGTGACAGAGGTGATTGAGGTTCATAAGCGTGACAAAAAAATTCATAATTACTATCATTTCGGCTATAAATGTTAGATAATGGGTGATGACGATGATAGTAACTATAACTGTCAAGACTAAAACCTCGACGTCTTTGTAGAAGATAGCGGCCATTGTGATTACAACTACTGCTAACATGAACAGTTTTCCGCGATCTTAGTTGACCATTTCCTTTCACAACCGTGGGCGAGGTGGTTGTGAGAGCATTTTGTTCAGAAGAAAGTATGGAAGGAGGTTCTGAAAAAATTATGTTTTGATGTAAAGGAGAATATGTATTATCATACGGAATTCTATCCATTTTCTGAAATTGTTAAGAGAAAAAATTTTTTAGAAAAAAGTTACGTTTATATAAATTTTATATTTATTTTTCCGCGATTTGTAGATCAAACTAAATCAGGCTAACGAATGTCTTTTAAAGTGGGGTGATTTTCTACATCATTCAAATAAATCGTATGTACAACGATCATACAATATTTAATAAGAAATTTCTGGACAAATATCGATTCTTATTAATATGTAATCATAATTCTTTTATTGTTAAGCGCAGCAAAAGATAAATTTATTTCATTTAATATATTTAGCCAAAATATTGAGTCATTATGTAAACACCCGAAAAGTATCACTTTAAAAATAACCAACTTCCGATTCTTTTATAATCTATAGTCGGTCTGTGCATTAACATATGACAGATATGACAGGTAACATTAAGTTGATCGGATATATATTTGTAAGAATTATTATAGAAATTGTTTTGAAATGTTTTTTTTTAACGTGTTTATAATGTGGCATATTTGTGTTTGTGTTTCATATTTGGAAAATTCCCTATTTTTTTCAAGTATTAACATAAATACTAGCATGTGATTATTGTTTTTACTACGTACTGTACGTACTGTACGTACAAATAAACCAATACGTATTGATAATATTGATAATTACCTGATTCGAAATCGAGACAGTCCCGGATAATAAAATTCGAATTGTTTATTTCAAACTCTTCTACTTATAACCCTAAAATTAACTCTAAAGTCCATAAAATTCCCATTAGAACAGCCCAATTTCGAATCGGGATAATTCTCATCCGGGGCACATCATAAATATCTATTAAAAATTTTTTACCGTACAGCCCCTTTAAATAATATACAATTGTAGATTTTAACATTTTTGAAAGTATCCCGGTACTAATCAAGTAGTAATTTATGACGTTCATGATCCAACCAATGATCATGTTATACAATAAACTCACCTCTTTTTAGTATACCCCTTGTATAGTATCCTCGTATTCACACAGTACTTGTAAAAGGCCGGGGTACTAGATGCAGCGCCGTACGGTATTTATCCACTTTTCAAATACATTTTACGATAATCAATAAGCGGATTTCATCACCTGTCGAAATATTTGTTTTTTTCATCATTGCTGTTATTAACAAACTATGTAGTAGTCATAACCATGCGTGTGTAGGTATTCAGTAAAATAGTAATGTAGAGCAGTGCAAACGAAAATTGTATTAAATTTTTGATGGTATATATGTTTTGCATCAAATCAATGCCTGCGTCAGATCAAAATAATTTTAATCTCACTAGTACCTACCATACTATAACTTTAAAACTATAATATTTTTTTAAACAGCAAGATAAAAAGATATTTATTAAACATTATGTAAAAAAATTAAAAAAAAAAATTGATTTGTGAAAATTAAAAAAAAAAAAGATCCTCTGTAAAGAATTAAAAAAAAAAATTAAAAAGATTTACAATTGATAATAATCATTTTTTAAGCTTTATTGTAGCTTCTTCAATGCTTTTAGGTTTTCCGTTGTCGTAAAATTCTACGCCCTTGAGATACACTACATTAGTGCTTGTGGATTCTTTTCGCGTTTGCGGCCACAATCGTGCCTGCTCTTCGATCTTGTCGACGACATTGTCAGTGATACATAAATTTACATTCAATCTTGCGGCATCACTTTTTGCCCTGTCGGTGTATCCGATTGGATTAACAAAAAAGGCGACATACTCCATTTCTCGATTCATTAGGCATGCAGCCAATTTTTGTACGTCCTCCGGACCACAACGGTGAGTGTCACGCCATCGTGTACGAACAACATAGTTCATGGTGTTGTGTTCACCGATTAAACTTAATTTATCATCATCGATTAACATCGGGTGGCAATCGATGCCTCTTGCTAAGATCATGCTTTTAATCTCATCCCTGTATTCTGTTGATTTTTGAAGGTATACATTCTAAAAAGAAATAAAATAACGTGAATAACTCCTAGTAACCATTGGTATACACAGAATACTCACATCTCCATCTCCATCTCTATCCATTATAACTTTACCTGACGCTATTAAAATAATCAGAAATATAAGAAACAGATATTCTAAATCAGGAGATAATATGCCGCTTATAACATTTGAAAAATTTTTTTTTGTGTACAGATATAAAAGTTCTATACGGCTGTACGCAGCATATCACTAGTACGTAGCTAGTAGGATCAAAAGTCGTTAAAGACATATCGAGAACAGAGAACAGAGGACTCACTTTAGATTAACTTTTGATTAGGAAAGGCAAGCGATAAGCATATATTTATAAAGGAAACAATGAAATTCTTGAAGTGGGGGAAATTACAATAAAAGTTGTTTGACAAAAGATTATGTCAAAAATTAAATGGTTAAAATTGAAAGAATCTCCGAAACAAATCTGAAAAGTGTAAATTGGATAAAAAATTTTTTCGCAAGTTAAACCTTATGGTGTGAAGTTACACGAAAAATTGATCGATTAGCGATTAAACTAGAGTGAAATAATGTCATCACTATTACTATTGGTCAAATTGTAAAATTTCTCTATTATTTACCCGGATCAGCCCGAAGCAAAATGCAAAATTGAAAATGTCGAAGTTATACACTAATCTTTAGTTAAGTAATTGATGTCCAAAGCTTTTTTGGCATGTCCAACGTCCAAGTGTCCAAAACTCATCTAAGCTTTTGATAATTAAAAAGTTTATTTCAAAAAAACATGATTATATATATTCTATATCTTTTTACTTAAAAAGTTATCTTAATAAAATTTTGTGTAATTTTAATATTTAAATCCCTGATTGCAATGGCCGAAGCTGAAATGGAGAAACTGGAAACTGAGGTCCTTATTGGAAAACATGAACCATACTACTTATCCATACAATATTGTGATTGTATAAGAAGTGTATCGTCAAAATGTTACCCGACATTTATATCGTTATCGTTATCGCAAAGATGTGCCATATGTAACAGGTCAAAAAAATCATGAAAATAAAGACCTTTCTTTTTTGATCCGGGCTGGTAGCCTTTGCTAGACGTAGGTTTTTAGTGCAGTGGTAAATTATGTATACAAAGTTAACTTTTGTATACAAAATTAACCCTAAACCTTTTTTAAGCCACTTTTAACATAAGTTTGGAAAGAGATACTAATAATTCATTTATGCTTAATAAAAAAAGCTTACTACACAACAATGCAAATTTAAATACGTTAAATCAAAATTTGCGTCAGATCAAAAATTTAAATACAGTTTTTTAAGGTTAAAGTACTGATGCCAACTTGTTTGTGTCACTAGTTACGGCTCAATTTTATAAATCGGTTTGACATAACTTTTTATATAAGACACAAATAAGTTGGCATCGATAGGTGAAGACTTATAGAATGTTATGAATACACTTAATTCTCTTGTAATGGCAAAAATGATACACCGCAAGATAATTACGCATATAATCAAATATAATAATACAAAAATTACAAAGTGTTGACAAATGTTTGTTATAATAAATTATATTTTGTTAGACTTCTATTTAGAATTTTCCGTATTCAATTCATCCATAATTTCTGTAATATATTTAATTTCGATGAGTATTTCGTATTATATATTAATATTGTGCCCATCATGACATTCAATAAAAGCGATGAAATACAAAAAAAATGGTAGTAGATATCTTATTAAATCAAATAGAACGCTTGATTTGAAAGATATTAGACCACTTTGGCTTCCAGCTCTACGCGAAGCACTGGATCCATTGCACAAATGTTACGTTAAACCACATGACTATTTTGCCTTTCCTTGGTGAAGAACAATAATCTAGCAAGTTAAGACAGGTTGTTCTCAATAGTTGTGGGTACGGATTTTTTGTAGAATGCTGGAAAACATCAAGTGACATCCCGCTCCCAACTGAATTAGAATGTCCTGCTCATAGCGTTGGCTGGATGTCTGCCTGCCAAATCGTTTCAGTACCATCATTGGATGAACTTAGAATATTCTTACAAAATGAATCAAATTTAGACAGTATCATTAAACACATCATCGAATATCCTCTGATGGCTTACACGGCGTCGCCCAGAAAAAATAGGGTAGCTGGTTTTTTTTTTCCGGTTTACATATGATTTCGAATGCTGATTGACGATAAAGTTGTGTTAACACTTTAGCACTAGGATCATAATTACAGAAATGGGTAGTAGGGTCGTTAATGGATCGGTTTGGTTAGAAATAAGCTTTAGCCAACGCGAACTAAATGTAGTAAAATTTTTATATAATACTCCGGTTTGGCCTTTAATTTACCTGGTTTGAATATTCTATTTAATGTATTTTTAACTGGTTTCAGTTTGATTTGGGTTGAAATTGGAGTGCACTATAGCATAATATTCCAATTAACAATTATACTGCCAGCAAAGACAAATGGGCGAACATTTTTGATGGAAATGTCGTGTTATTAAAATGTAAAATTTGAGCAAATTTGATTTTACGGCATATTTAACAATAAAGAAGTTGTCAATTTAATTTCTGGGTATCATTTCGTAAATTCTTTAGCATTTGAAGGCTCTTCCTATGAAATTTTAAGGGTGTTTAGATCATCTGATTAAATTTGATTGACTGGTAGATTATATATTATAATATTAATCATATGAAGTCGTGCGAAAATTCTTTTTTTTAGTAATTTCGTACCCCAGTTGTTCGTGAATATTTTTTCACAATTATGTTCAAATTCTGACGTTTATATGTAAAAATCGTAAAAAAATTGGCCAACTTCGTAATCATGATCTTCATTTTATTTTTAACTATCTTAAAATTTCATAAAACCTTTAAATGCTAGAGAATTTACGAAATGATACCCAGAAATTAAACCGACAACTTCTTTATTGTTAAATATGCTTTAAAGCAAAATTTACATAAAAAATTTAGGCGCGTCAATCATTTGACCCATATTAAAATTTGCATATGACAAATCGTGCGCCTGTTATGTTATTTACGTGCTTACGCGCTTACGCAATAATAGGCTTCCGATTTTTTAGTTAATAAATATATAATAAATAATTAGTTATTAATATTTTTAATATTTTTTTAATCATTAATAACTGCATATTAATAATTTTTTATAATAATTATTGAGGCCACACAACATATGCATAATTATGCTGAAGTCATTTGTCACATACGATGTTTTTTTATCAAAGTTCTAAATATTACTGCATTTGATTTATTATAAGTTAATGACAATTATTTTTTTAAAGTTAGCCTTAAAATTCAGGGCTCGATAAAATAGAACGTCAGAGAATGATTGTCGGTAATAATAATGCTAATAAACTACTTATACATGTATAATACTTAAGTTTTAATAATGAAATGTTAATAAAATTTATTTAAATATTTAGAAAAAATCTTAGGTTTATTTTAGATAAATAATTTTAATACATAGATAAGCGAATTTTCAAGTTGAGTTGATTTAAGTTCAAAAACCTGAAGTCTAGTTTTCTTTCAATAGTCTCGAAACAAAATCTAGCGCTTTGTTCATTGCTTTTGTACATTTTTATACCGCCAATGCTGTGCTTAATAGCCATGTGTAAAATATTTTCATTCAACAAAATGGCTCAGTCTTTACCAAAATCTTAGATATAGATAGTGATAGAATTCAAAAATGAAAATTTCATAATGAAAATTTCATAACGAAATTATTAGTAATCATTATTATAATTTCCATTTTCGATTTCTATCACCATCTATAATCCTAGAAAATCTGATCTTCGCTGAATTTTGACTTTCTTCAAGGCTTCGGGAGGTCTCGTTTTTCGTCTTTAGGCGAGTTTAGGTTTCGTTTTTCGCCAGTTTCCCAAAATGATTTCGCCTAAAAACAACACTTAAGAGACAGTGAACACTTATATGTAGCGAAGTCATTATAACAGACAAATTCATTCTATTTATCAAACCAATTCTTTTCGCACCTTTAATCGAAACCTTGTTATTATTAGAGTTTAATGTATTAGTTTGGTTAATCTTATAGTTTTTTTAGTAAGTTGTCCGTATTCCGACATTCATCATACTTTTCCACCGGAAAACTTCACCTATCACGATCATTCAACGATCAATACGATCTGTACAAATGCTTCTTCATATTTATGCGACTTATGAAGAATATGCCCTAAAAAAAATAAAATAAAAAATAACGTGAGTAACTTGTATTATCATAGCACCTTCCTAGTAACCATTGGTCGTGGTTTTCGGAACATAAGGGTCTACACAGGGAGGATTGGTAGTCACAACCCTGCAGCGTGACTTACACCCTCATGTATGCTAAATACTCGAAACACAATGAGAATACTCACATTCGTTAAAGACTTGTAACAAACGGCTGGTGTAAAGGGTAAATCGTCTTCAAGGTGGCTCCAATCGATTTTTACGAGATCAGTCGATGTGCCAGATAGGTGGATAGGGTGGATAAGGCAAGTAAGGTATATCGAGTATATAGAGCCTATATGCCAAATAGAATAGGTATGCTAGAGAATTTATTAGTAAAAAAACAAGATTTCAAAATATTTCTTTTATAAAATTAATATTTCATAACTTCGAAGTGCTAAGTATTAAGGCCAAAAACTGTGAGTAAGAGTGTCAAAATATATTGCGAAATTTTTTACTAATAATTTTCGTGATTGTCAATTTCGTTATTCAACTTACTTAACTATAATTTTGTGACCAACTAGTCAAACTCTTCGTTAGAAAAACAAGATCCGGTCACAGTTATAAGAGAATAAGATAAAAAATTAGTACCCGGAAGATAGAGTAAGAAAATATAACACATAAGAAACAGTAAACCTTATCTATAACCGTATAACAAACCCAATTAACTCTAATTATCGAACCAATCGAAACCTCGTTATTATTAGAGTTTAATATATCAGTTCGGGTAGTTTTAGAATGTTTTTAGTGAGTTGTCCGTATTCCGACGTTTCTCATACTTTTTCACCGGAAAATTTCACCTATCAAGACCATTCAACAATCAATACGATCTGTACCAATACTTCTTCATGTTTACGCGACTTATGAAGAATATGCCCTAAAAAAAAATTAAATAAAAATAACGTGAGTAACTCGTATTATCATAGCACCTTCCTATTAACCATTTGTCGTGGTTTTCAGAACATGAGGGTCTACACAGGGAGGATTGGTAGTCAC